CTCATAGGCTTTATAGATGGTGTTCATATCTGTTTGGATCTGGGTCAGATAAGGTTCACATAAAGTCAAATCAAAATTATTATCAGAGATCATGGATTTTACCTGCTGAACAATGCTTCGACCTGGTGGATCGTTAGTGGCCATGTAGCAGTAGTGAGGTTCAGCAACATCATCTTCATCTTCGGATCCAGAAGACCAATAACCTTCATCACATACAACTGTTTGTCTTGCCATCAAACACATGTTTCTTCCAGTCACTAAATCATCATCATCTTCGGATGACCAATAACCTTCGACATCTCTTGAAACGGTGGTAACAAATGCTTTCTCACTTTCAGCCATTTCTTGTGCTCTTCGGACATAATAAGCCGAGTCCTTGACTTTTGGTTTTTGTGGAGCATCAGCTAGACAATGTTTGGCAAAGTGATTTGCATGACCACATTTATGACACAAGATCTTGGGTTTGTCTGATTTGGAATTTTGAGAAGATTCTGGAGCTGAGTTTGGTTTAGTGAGGTTAGGCTTGTATGCAGGAGGATTTTCGGAAGTGTGTTTAGATTCCGAAGGAGAATATGGTTGAGGATGGTTTTGGTGAGGAGCGCTGAATCTGTTTTGGTATGGTTTGTAAGAAGGATTGAAAGGCCGTTTGTATTTCATGGAGAGTAAGGCAAATTCTTGTTGGAAACGGACTTCAGAATTCAAGGTTTCTGAATCATCGTCATGATAGATGTGTGTGGGTAAAGAAGTTAAGGATGACTGAGTTAATGGAACAGTGGGTTTGTAAGGTTCCGGAGAAGGTGGGTTCGGAATGGTTGATTCAAAAGAACTGACTAGAGCAAGTGGTCCTCCGGAAAGTTCTCTTATGGTTTGAGCAACGTTTGATTCATGTCCTTGAAGCTCATCAAAAAGTTGATAGAGTTTCAATTTTTTTAAGGAACCATTGCTTTGAAGACAGGACTTTACATTTCCCCATCCCTTACCGAGACTGTTAATAAACTTGAGATTGTACTCGAGAGGAGTTCGAACAATCGCATGAGCAGTCATGTTGTTGACAACGATTCGATATCGGTTGGAGGCTGAGGCTACAGATTCACCTGAAGTAGTAGTGAAGGTGTCAAAGTCATTGACAACGGAGGTGAGACGTTTGTCCTTCATATTTTCGGAACCTTCAATCAGATCCTGAAGAGTGTCCCAAATTTCTTTGGTTGATTAGCATAGCTTGATGTGCTCAAAGAGTGATGGAGGAACACCAAACACCATTTCAGAAAAGGCGACTTGATCAGCATGCAGTTTCTCAATATCATCAGCAGTTAGAGGGGCTGGACGAACTTCATCTTCTCGCATGAGTTGAGCAGCTGTATCTCTTACAACTGTTCTTGCAGGAACATGAGCGCCTTCTTTGACGGATCTCCAGATTTGTCCACCTTTCTCTTTGGCTAGTAAAAACCTTTCCATTCTAACTTTCCAAGGATCATATTCTTCCACAACTAGCAATGGGGCATGTGTAGGGCCACCCACGCTATTTGCGATTTGCATTGAAATCATTTGTTGAGGATTTGAAGCAGCCATTGAAGTCAAGATATCTTCAAGCTTAAGTGGTATATAGAAGAACTTTTATCCTTAACACATAAATGGTTGAAATACCAAGGTAAATTCTAACCAACTATAATCTGATCTTATGGATTCAAAGGACAACCACTCGAGCTCTCATACCAATTGTGAGAACAAGATCTTAGCGCAGGGACAAGGTTTGAGAACTCAAACCTTGAGTGAATGCTTGAGATCAATGTATGCTTAATAATGGATGTTCAAGTCGAGACTGGAAAGACTAGTCAAGTCTTAGATAATCGATTCAACAAATGATCAAGACATTAATTGAGAACAAGTAAATAGTGATCAAGGTAAAGTTAATAAATGAGGAACAAGAAGAATTTTTTAATGTGATAAGAGTAAAATGCCAAAAGTGAGAGAAAGATCCGTTTTTGACTTGTATTGAAAGCTCCTATATAAAGGAGAGAATGTTACAGCGAATTAACCCAAGTGATTACATAGGACCGGACAAAAGATACAAGTCTGACATTTTGATTGTCCTAAATCAACTTTAGACTCAGTCCTATGAAACGTTACATCAAAATACAAGACAAAAGTAATAAATGCATAAGAGACAAAATAGCTTCATTCCGGACAAGCAATGTTCCGGAGATGAAAGTTTGGTTCCGGATCAGCATGCATTCCGGACTTCAGGATTAGCTCCGGAATGCGTTCCTCTTCAAAATACTTTACTCATTTCCTTCAACTCCGGACAGGTTCCGGATCACATCTTCCTTCGGAACCAACAACCTTCGGAATATGTACTTAGGATTGCTAGAGGTTCACTTTTAGGTTCCAACTGAAAGTTAGGAGCTTTATACCTCCTTTGAGTGCCAAAAGATGAAATAGTCCCAGATCCTTGAGCTCAAGATACTCAAGTTCTTCTTCTTCAACTCTTCTTCTCTTCTTCCAAGCTTTTCTTCATCAAAAATGAGCTCAAAAGGTCAAACACACATAACAATGGAGTATGAGGGAGTATTAGGGTTTTCTGAGGGTAAGGGGCTGGTAAGGAGGCCATGGGGGCTATAATGGGATATTTATATGTCTTAAACTCTAAAAAATTAGGGTTTTGGCATCTGCTCACGTATGTTGCGCGTACTTCCGGTACGCTGCGCGTACGTGTGCGCGTCCCTCGCATCCTAGGCGCCTCTACGCCCCGCGTACACTGAGGCTACGCCCAACGTACGTCTTATGGGCAGCCCAAGTTCTCGGCCCACTTGCTTAAGGTTCATTCCAAAAATCCACTTGTCCCATCATTAGTCCAATTAACAATATTAATTACTTAAATTAAATAATACCTCGAGAGATGGATGTTACAATTATAAATAAATATATAATAAATGTTTATTCGGTTTATTTGGACTATTCGGTTCTTATTTTATAAACCAAAACCAATCTGAAATCCAAAATAATAATTCGGTTTTGTTGAGAACCAATCCAAAAATCCGAATATCCGAACCAAATAGTTTAATCCAAATTGTCCAATTGGACAATTCGGTTTTATCAAAATAGTGAACAACCCTAGCCAGCACCTTGATATGTTAGACAATACCGGTTGAAAGAGACCTAAGGGGTAGGCCAACACCCTGATATGCTAGACGATACGGGTCGAAAGTGACCGAAGGGGTAGGCCAGCACCCAAATATGCTAGGAAGTATGTTTATTGTATGGTATGTGGTATGATAGGGGAACATACTAAGCTTCGTGCTTACAGTTTTCAGGTACTTCTTCTTCGAAAGGAAAGGAGCCGGCATGATCGTAGCGCATCACACCATGTTTTCCGCACATGAGATCTTAGGGAGTTAAACTCTAATGTTGTTTTATTATGACATATTTTGATTATTGACTTATTGGTTTTGATATGGGATAATTCTATGGATGTTTTCAGACTATTGGTTTTATAATTACTTAATTAAAAATGGAATTTTTGGTCTTGGATTTTGGGATGTTACACTACTTCTAGCATGCAATTCATATTATAGCATCAATAACATATAAAACATGTATGAATATTTTCGGAATCACTTACTTGAGCTCTGGATGACTGTACACATCGTATCTTCCCTTTTAAAAATAAAGTCTAGTCAGAGATCCCAGACCAACAATTGGACAAGAACATGATGAGGAACCAAGTTCATGTCTCTAACCCAACTATTTTCTTAAAATTCTTTTTGAAAATGTTTATGAAAATTCTTGGATCCTAGTTTGAGTTTGGATCCACACGAGTGTTCATCCAAATCCCTCAAACCAGGGCTCTGAAACCAACTTCTAACTTCCCAATTTTCAGAATAAAATTTTCATTTTAAAACTTGCATAAACACTCATTTTCATAAAGGCACAATCAAAGCAAAACCATTTGTTCATAAACTGAAATCCATAAATCAGAGTTATAACGAAAGTATCATGTAATCTCTAATCATAAAATTGTTGATGTGTGTGTACAATCATGCCTTCACTTCCTCATGAACTGATAAAGTACCTGGAAAACATTTAATCCATAACTGTAAGAAAAAATCTTAGTAAGTTCCCTAAAGTATCGCATACAACACAACATAGCAAAACATAAAAAAAAACTATGGGTTATCAACAACCCTATGGATTAACAGCAAAACTGAGTTATCAACAACTCAAATACAACAATTGTAATTATCAACAACCCTGAGATATTAGCAACTCACATATAGCAAATTGGATTATCAGCAACCCGGAGTTATCAGCAGCTCACATACATCAATTGGGTTATCGACAACCTTGAGTTATTAGCAGTTCATGTACAACATGTAATATAAGTAACACGGTGAGAAAACTCACCTGAACTAAATAGTAGAAGCTCAAACAGAACCTCAACAACATAAACAGCTAACACACGCTACCTAAACCCAAACTAGAACTAGTCCTTAGCTAAGCACTCAATTCTACCAAGTTTTAACTAAAAGTCAAACTAGTAAAAAAGTGAAAAGTCAACGGTCAACAAAAGTCAATGGCCGACCAGTCAACGATCAGTAGGGTTGTTCGTGGTTCGGTTTGAAATCGTAAAACCAGCCAAACCATACATAGGTTCGGTTTCACGGTTTATATTTTTCGTTATAGTTTGGCTTGTGGCTTCAAACTTTCAAAACCGCAGTTAAGAATTTTGTTTGCGGTTTCAAAATGTTTAATCCGTATAAAACCGGACCGGACCCTAGGATATATATATATATATATATATATATATATATATATATATATATATACCATCTTATAAATCATACATAATCAATGTCTTAATTACAAATTGTAAAGCCCAAGGTACAACAAATAAAGCCTATTATCTTAAAAAACAAGAAAACATGATCTGACCATTAATTATTAAATGAATGGTATAAATATGTCCATGTTGGCGATCAGTGTGCTAAATGAATATTTGATTAAAAACATACTCCCTCACACGGATCAATTCAGGCATCATATTCGTTCTCGTAACCCTAATTCACTCATTTTATTCAAAATTTGAATTTCTCCGTCGTTTCTCTTTCTCCCACCAACAAAGAAGCCCTAATGGAAATTTTCAGCATAATCGATGTCGTCTCCCCCTCCTTCGTCGTCTCTATCAGGGTCCTCCATAACCCACTCAAACATATGTTCTATCGTCTCCACCGGTACTCCCACAGCCATCACCTCCATCGACCGCCACTAGAACAGAATTGGCAGATAAACACTCACATTTCATCGGTGATTTCTTTTGTTTATAACCCTAATAGTTTTCATCTTTCGTCACAACTAAGATTTTATAAATGCTTTTTACATGTTAATCGCGATTATCTCTCTACACCTCAACCTGATCTTACTGGGTTAATTTATACAATTTTGATTTGTTGTTGCACTAGTAGATGAAGAACTTTGAAGAGGAAGGAGTTCTAAGTTTTTTGAGAAAAAGGTTAGGATTTATCGGCTTTACTACACCAGATCTTTAAATTGTTCACCATCGCCTTCACCACTATAAAAATATCTAGATACATGGAGTAGGATGTTCACGCTCACTAACCTATAATATATTTCACAAAGAAGCAAGGTAATATATTTCTACTGTCATTTGTTCTTCACCCCATCACCATGAATTTCATCGTTCTTTCCCTTTTCCTTCAATCTCTCTCTCTCTCTCTCTCTCTCTGTATATGTGTGTGTTTATGATTTTGTTTCTTTTTAATAGAAGAAGAAACGATTTTGTTGACTGTGATTTAGAGAAGGTGAATCTGGTGTATACTGTGTGCAGGACATTCAAGAATCCAACTGGTAATCCAATTTGTTTCATAAAACAATAAACAGAGTGTAATGTATGAGTTTAACAAAATTAATTTCGGATTTAACATCATAGTAGAGGTTAAAGTCATATCACAAGAGGATATAGATTAATTTTTATTGCTTAGATATGTGTGTTGTGCAGCTGGGAGCCCAAAAATGAATAATCAAATCAAAGTTTTTTTTTTTTTTTTTTTTTTTTTTTTTTTTTTAAATTTGAATTCACAACCTTGCTTCCTTCATATAAGTTCTTCATCCAACATTGATATACAAGGTAATAGCTTTTGTTGTACACTTATCTCTTAATGTATATATTTGATCAGAAATATCAAAATCATGTTTGTTTACTTGTACATTATGTTGATATTGTTGTACTTGCATAAAAGAAGAGGAAGTGGGTATGAAGCCATTTCTTGAAGAGGCAACCTCCCAGTTATGACATGTAAATAGACTAAAATCAGAAAATAAATGGGTGACATTGTTATCTCTAATTATGTTTGTGTGTGTGCTTTTGTTTATACGTCTTGGTGGTAATTGATTATTGCATTTTCATTGACTTTTGTCATTGTTTGATTTGGTTGCAGGTTTAATGAAGCTTTCCACAATCCAATGTGTAAGTCTATTATCTACATTTCCTTGAGCTTTTAGGTTTTTGAAAATTTTTAGCTTATGTTATCTGAATTGGTTCATGAGTTCAATATGTTCATGGCTATAGAAGCCAAGTGAGTTTGTATATTTAACGTGAAGACTAACTTTAAGTTGATAAGCATATAGTTTTTATTATCAAATGGCATTCATGTTTTCTGTAAAATGGTAACTATTTATCCAAATTTAGCTTGACAAGTATGGGGGTTCTTTGGTTCTTTATTATGGAAAAGATACAAAAAAGGTTTAAAAAATTATATTTGCCATCTATAAAAAAGTAATGACACCATATTCTGCCATATTGGGTACTTGAGTGAAAGTTGAGGCTTTTTCCATACCATTATGTATTGCTTACTGTCTAACATCCATGTGAAATATAAGTTTGTGATTACGTGAATTCAGGAAAAGTGGTATCAATTAACAGGAAAGACGACCACCGAAATCATCGAGAAATCTTGGATATTCGAGTGTATATAAGGTTTTTTTGTCTGTCATTTCTCAGGTATGAAATCGAGGTGTTAGGCCCAAACTTTGGAGTAAAAAAGAATATTATAAATTTTTAACCATGTATATGTGTCTCATTTGAAGATCCGTGTCTCATTTGTACATCAACGTGTTTTTGGCCCGAAGACACCTCATTTGGAGACAAAACAAGGTAAACCCACCACTGTTTCCTTTTATATATATGTCAAATCCTAATATGTGTCTACCATTTATATATCTTTGATGAAGTTTTAACATAAAGTAAATCAAATATGAATAGAGATGATGGTGATGAGAATCTCAAGATCTTCATTTTTCGGTGTAGATGCTCTTTTGTATTAGATTTGTGTATATTTTGACCTTTTTTGTTAGCAATCTTTATGAGTGTCGACATGTATATATGTGTTACTAAATTTAATATGTTTTGTTTTGGGTTTTTGCAATGAAAAAATGAATGATTTTAGTTTTTTTTTTTTTTCTTTTTCAGATCTGGTTATTCATTTCAAAGTCGTGCTGCTTTGTATATCCGGAAGACCTATTGTTTTATATTTTTCATCATTTTTGTTGCATCAGATCTGTGTTTGTATCACAAGTTTTAAATGATTTTATGAAGTTTAGAAAGATTCTACAAAACCTTGGAAAATCGTTTTTTTTTTCATTGAAATGTTCTTAAGAAGATTAGTTTAGATTTTGTCGCATGCTCAGATATATGGATTGGATATTTTTTTTACAGATATATGTATTCAGTTTAAAAAGATGTAAACTAATGAGACACAACATATTTTTGGTATTGTGAAGATTTAGATTATGCAATATGTTTGTTGAATGATATGAATTGTGAAGATTTAATGTTATTGGGGGCAGTGACACCGTGTTGACTACAAAAACTTCACCAACTTTGTTTACATTGAAACAAAAGATTATCAAACAAATAAAACAAATAAAAATAATGGTGTAATAGTATTTTATACGATCGTTATTGTCACTTTAACAATGATAGCTTTTGTTGCATAATAGCAATAATAATAATAATAATAATAATAATAATAATAATAAAAAAGTATATTTGAAATTGCTTTTATAATAAATAAGTATTTGGAAATGATATCACGTCCACACCTTATTTTTTTTTAAATATCTTCAATAGAACCCTTTTTAATATTAAAATATAATTGAACATATTTTTTTCATTTTTTAATATATTTTACTTAGTAATCATCCTTTAAAACAAGTTTGATTTAAATCTGTTTTTTAATTATTTTTAATTATTACAATACTTATTACTAAATTTAATTGTGTATGTATATTTTTATGGGAACGAAGGTCTTTCATGCCTAAAGTTAACACACTGCACAATGCACACCTAGGTAATTATCACACCCATTAGGTAATTGATTAAATACTATTAAATTATTTGAACTTTAAAATTTTGAAAAGCCGTATATATTGTCTAGACTATCATATGAGTTATATTACTTATTTATTATTTATTTATTATCTATTTCTATATTTTAATTATGTTAATTCAAGTTTATAGACATAATTATGCATCTTGAGGAAATATAGACATAATTACAATATGCTGCTAGGCAGCTAACTAGAAACTATTCGTTGAAAAAAGCTATTTGACACAAAAAAAACCCACCAAAAAACTGAAACGAACTAATTGACATAAAAAGATAATAACCACTGCATGAAATCTATCGGCCAAAAATGAACTATCCGACATAAAGAAGAGAAAATGACATGGATCGATGACATGGAAGAGCAAATGGATTGCCCAAATTTAATCAGGTCCGTCGATTAGCTATTGGATCGAACGGAACGATAACACGCACCACATAAACATATTCTACAAACCCTAATCACTTTCTTAGCTACTCTCTCAATCACGGTTTCCCTCTTCCGTCTTCAACCCTTCTCCTACATCCGACAATGACGCCGCCACCACCATCCCTTATCACAACTAAACCTTCCTCCGCCATCTGGATCTTCATCACCTCTTTCGGTCACCGTCAAACTGTTTGAAACCGTAGAAATCACCATCGTAAGTTCTCTCAAACCCGCCACCTTGACAACATATGCCACCCCCATTGGAAAACTGATACTAGGGAGTCGCCGTAGATCCAACATTAGACCGCAATCTTAACATTATTCGTTAAATGAAATTAATCGTCGTCCGCTGCCAGATAAATAGTAATAGACAGAAATTAGTATTTTCTTCCCGTTTAGAGACAACTGATCACCGAAAGGAACAAATCGTCGGAATGAAACAAATCGAAAGAAAACAATTTGACGATCGCCAAAATGACACTAATTTTCATTCGGAAACTAATTGTCGGAATAAAAAAATCGTCGCTGCCGCATCGCGCGGGTATGCTACTAGTGTGTGTATATATATAATATATATATATATATATATATATATATATATATATATATATATATAATTGTATATAGTTTTATTACATATTAATTTTCATATATAAGTTTATAAGTAATACAAAATTAAAACAAACTTAGCAACCCAATTTTGTTGTGAAACTCATTCCATCCAATCCAATAACTTATTATCAATAAGTAGTAACCTAAATCACATATTCAATTATTCATAATACAACTTCCATAACATAACACTTTGATACAAAGATATTACATGGCAATTTTTTTTCTTTTCTAAATTAGTCTAATGGGTTCGACTCAAATGAGCCTAAAAACCCCAAACTGTGAAACCAAATTGGAGCCAAACGATTACTAATGGTTCAGTTTGGATTTTGTTTAACCTAAAAACCGAAAAAACCGAAAAAATCGAAAAAATCGGTTTGGATTTTGTTTAACCTAAAAACCGAAAAAATTGGACCGTGAACACCCCTAACGACCACTGCATTGTGGCGAGATATTGGCCATGTCCAAAAAAAAAACAAGCACATTGCAGTGCCACCAGGCTGTGGGCCTTCCTTGGCCATGCTGATCAGAAAGCCCTCTCTTCATAAAGAGCTTAATCCTTTAAGACTATTCCTAATACTTTCCAGATAGCTTCTTTGCATCACAAAGTATCATAAAACATGCATGTCCTCCTCCAAACATAGGTTAAAAGTGAGAAAATGGAGTCAAAACACCATGCATGGCATCAAACAAGTGATTTACTTCAGATCTGGAACATATGATGCGCTAGGGCCCTCATAGAGTGATAATGTTTCAAACTTTACCAATTCCAATATTTCAAGAGTTACATAAAATTAGGAAAGTTTCTCATTTCCCAGATCAAAAGGAAATGTAACATAAAGGTAGAGTCTTGAATTCTTACCAAGGTCCAAAATTGAATATGAACTTGCATGCTCACTGGATCTAACTTGCTTGCACCACAAAACCTTTATCCTTCAACTAAAATACACCAAAATGCCAATATTCTCATAAAACACCCATAGAGGAGAAGGGGTTTTATTCTAGGGAGAGGGAGGCTAAAATTATGTGGAACCCTAGCCAACATGTTGTTTCAATAGGTCCTAATGCCCTTTAGGAATCTGTCGTCCCTACGTCATGGTGTATACTCGACCACGCCATGGTCAATGCTCAATAGCTCTCTTCATTTAGATGATGTGGCCACGCCATGGACAACTGTTGGATTTGGTGTCTAAGCCCATAACTATAACTGGGATGTACTTGACCCGATTGTAGCATGGTCCTTTTGGGTTGCCTTCACCAGTGCAATTTGATATGATGGACTTTTGAGAATAAGGTTATTTATGATTTATTAATATATTACATGTATAATATATTAATATGAAATCATATTATTTAATTAGTATTGATCAAGAATTAATTTGGAATTAATTTTGTGATCAAAAGAGACTAATTAAATATACGGGGATTGATTGTGTAAATCAATGATTCTAATAGTGGGCTAATGATCCATCGTCACTTAGGATGGGCAAAACCAATGAGATAATGCATAGATAGTCCATGGAGGTTAACCCATGGATCCTAAGTAAGATGAAAGGTCATTAGGGTTTACAAAGTGTAACACTTAGCATTTGCCACACTATAAATAGAACCCCCTATGGCCAAAATCGGTTACACAATCTTGCCACAAGTTTCTTGGAGAGTGATATTGATTTTGTGCAAGTAACATATTCTCTCAAGCCTCCTCTTGCATATTGGTGTTTGTGAACCATTAGAGGCATCATACTTGAGGTGCTCATGCTTTCAAAGGTCAAGAACTACAAGTCCTTCTAAGAGGTAAGGAATCTAACTAGCTTTATTGTTCATTTGACAACTTGTATGCTAGTTAGGAGAATTCTTTGGAAAAATTGAAAATGCATGTATAATTAGAGAAAACATAGATCCAAAGCATTTAGGTTTGCATGTGCACCATAGGAGTGTTATATTGCTCAAAACCCAACCGTGGTATCAGAGCAGGGTTGTTTTCTATTATATTTGATGCTTGCAAATTTTTTAAAGATGAAAATTTTGATTTTCCTGCACCTGACTAGTGAAGTCGTCGAGTACATGAACTGACTCGACGAGTTCACTCAGTAACAGAGCTAATCGGAGAGTCAGTTCATGCACTCGACGAGTTGAAGGCTCTGTTTGCAGAATTTCGTGTTTTCTTGGCCTAAATTGGACTGGGAACACTACCACAAACTGTTTTGGATCATTAAAATGTTTCTTCTGATTTGGTAGTGCTTGTACTCATCCAACCACAATATAATTGTAAAGGTTTTGAGAAAATTGTTGTTTTATATGATAAACAAAGTTGCTTGTAAATCGTTGACTTGGAATTATATTGTTTATGAGTTTAGTTAGATCAATCATGAATTATGTGATATTTTAGTTGTTAGAAAATTGATCTAAATGAATTTTAATGACCTCCATAACTTGTCCTCAAGTTATGGAAAATGAAAGGTCTCATCTTTAAAATTGCATTAAAACTCATAAGTTACGAATACCAAGAGTTTTGACAAGTTTCAAAACTTGCCATCAAGTTTTGGAATTTGTAAAGTATCACTAATGAAACTTTAATTTCAAACCCTAGAGTTTTAAAAGTTAAAATTCAACCCTTATACTTTATAATATTATAAGTTTAAAATACATATATATATATATATATATATATATATATATATATATATATATATATATATATATATATATAAGACAAGTCAGTCTTACCGTTAGTAGGCCTCATTCACGAAGCCGGTCTATAATGGGGGTATAAGGTTACTACCTATAAAATGGTAGTTTAATGGGTGTACACTCTCACCCACCGCTTCCTTGACTGGTGGAGGGTCGTTAGCCGAACGGGTAGGATAGAATATTAATTCTCCTTGTTAAAAGTATAATGATAAATATAAAGTAACTAAACTTTTATTAAATCCCCAATCTTAGTTACTTTAGGAAAATGTGAAAAATGGTGCTAATCCATGAAATTACTTTGCACCTTGTTAAGTCGTTAGTGGAGCGTGTGTGGTTAACCGACAAACTAATCTGGGACTGACAATGTGTGGCAAAGGGTAACTTGATGTTAATCATAGATCAATGGAGCGTGTGTGGTTAACCGGCACATTGATTAGGTGATTTGTAACA